TCTTGCCTTTGTCTAGTTTTTTTTTTAATGCAGGCCGACCTGCAGTCTTGCACAAGAATTAATTCATAAAAGTTTAATGCCTGACAGGTTCCTCCATGTAAACTCCTTCTGCTGATTGATGCTCTAGGCACAGTTTCAGGGAGAGAAAGGAGTCCTTCAGGATGAGATGCAGATGAATCCATCCTGCTGTTGGGGAAAGCTGGAGTTTGGAGAAGTGGACATGAGTTGTCAGTATGCCTGAGGTGATCAAGTTTCTGTACAGCTGGGAGCAACTAAACAAGTGTCAAATACCTCAAGGAGAGGCTGAGGGAAAAATGAAACATAAGTGACAGTGCTGCCAGCACAGGATGAAGCCAAGCCAGGATTTCAAGGCTGTTGGAGCCAGTGGTCCTGTCTCTGCTGGCTTGTTATTTATTCCTCCAAGAATTCAGACTGTACTACTGCTCCTGTGCTAGTAGGGCTCTTCACCACTCAGGCTGTTACAGTATTTTCTCCAAAGTTGCAGAAGTGTTGAGAGCAGTTGTGTTCTAAAAGCTGAGCCTGTCTCAGTTGGGCTGTGTGTGTTACTGATACAACGCTCCCAAAGCACAAAGCATTTTCTGCTTACATATCAACTTCAGTGTATCCTGCAATCCCCCCAAAGTTATTGAAGTATAACTGCAAAATCAGCTGAAATTAAATATATAAAAGTCTAATCTTCTGGCCAATGGATATTTATTTAGTCTGGTTTGGTTTTTTTTTTTTCCAAGCAGAATAAAAAGAAATTGTTTTCTGCTTTAAACTGAAACTCTTTTTTTTTCCAGGTTTCCACAAATCTGGAAGAGGAACCAGCAAATGTGGATGCTGCCACAAACCTGTTATCTCAGTTGTAATGCAAAATGGACAATGATGGGGTTGCAAGAAACGAAAGACCACAAATACTGATGGCTTTGTTTGCACAATTTTATTAAAAAAATCTTGTTAATATACAAGTATTGGCACACTTCAATACAAACTACAAACAGACCTTTCCTATCATCTAGGAAAGTGGAATGTCAGAAGTCAGTGTGAGAAACTTAAAGTGCTAAAACAGAAGGCACTTCACAAAATTGGTTCACTGAAACAGTTTAGCATAACTCAAGTTGATACCCTTCACTTTTCAACTTGGCAGTGAAAGCTTCAAAATTGTTTGAAAAGTTAAAAAATAGCTTCTTGGCAGTAAAGCTTCAAAGAAAATGCTGTTAACTGTGAGCAAGAAGACTAATCATTTTTTAAAAAATGATCAAAAAGTTATATAGTATTTTCACTTTTCTTGCTAAAGAAAGCTCCAAACAGTTGGCTTAGACAGAAACACACTCAGGTGAAAAAGTGCCAGAATTTTTGATAAGAGCCCTTTTTTAATGTTCTTGAATTTGTTTTGTGAAGTAGTTAAAGGAAGCAAAAGGAAATATACTCCCAGAGTCAGTGAACTAAGAAGTTATACATTCATTATTCAAATACTTAGGTTATGAAGAAGTCTAGATTGTTACAGTTAGAGGTAGATAAGTAGTCTGGTTGACATAATATCTAATAATTTAGTATCTGCACATCAAAGAGATCACAGACTCCTTCATTATCATCCAGGTTAAAGTTGTAGTCATCTCCGGGAGTAGGAGAGAGTCGTAAGAGAGGAAAAACTGTAAAGCAGGAACAGTTTAGTTTAAATTAAAACACTTGGAAAATCAGCCCTATCACATTTCAGTATGTCTGTCACAAGGGTTAGTCTTAATAATTAAAATAATCTTGATAATCTGACAAGCTCACTGAGATACATACCATGAAAACCTGTACTGCATTCAAACCAAGGCAGTAAGTGATCTATCTGCCATTTTTGGCTTGGTATTTTAGGTCAGTTTGCTGAAGTGGAGTGATAGCTGTGGAATATGGGTTTAATTTCTTCTGCAATGGAGTTCCTGAGGAGCTTTTGAAAACTTTAACCATCAAGCCATAATTTATATTTCTTTATCTATATCCCTGCTCTAGAAGCACAGCCTCTTTCCATGTTAACCACATACTGGCACATTCACAGAATCCCATCTTGCCCCTTGGATCTTACAACCACATCTCTTTCTGGATGAGCCCTGAAGTGGTCTGCTTGAGGGGCAGATATTATTACAGGCCTTAAAGAATACAGGGCAAAAGGAGCAAAAGCAAGTTGAGTTGACCTCTTTGCCTGCCAAATCAGTGAGAGTGGCAGAGAGGTAGGAGCACATGAATTCTGTAGTAGCTGTGGTTCAGTGCTGCACTCATGGCCAAAGACGTGCAAGAACAGAAATGGGTGACACTTGTTCTGTTAGTGTACCTCAGATGGACATGTATCAGTCTGCATCCAGAACTATATTCTGAAGTACTTATTCAAAGCACAAAGCTTTAGGCAGAATAGAATTAAACCAGATTTATATTTTAAGGCAGCACACTAGTCATCAGCTTGTTCTTTCTTTTTCCCTACATTAAGTACTGGTGGGTTATTCATGCAAGTAAGTGCTTTTGGATTAAGGTTTTCCTGTTTTGTCTGTTAAATAAAACTTGCAGGGAATAGAAAGGGGAGCAAAGACGAGTGACAGAGGAGGCAACATGGGAAAGAAGTAGTTTCATACTGACTCTTGGCATCAGATGTAACAGATGCCTTCTAAGTGCTGTTCACACAAAAATCAGGCTGCTACTTGTGATTATTAGAAAAGATGCTACTTACCATCAGAAGACATGAGTTCATCAATAATATCTCCGCTGATATTTCCTGTGAAAGACAGGAGCACATGCTTTATGTATGTGGGGTTTTTTAATATGTGTTTATAGCAGTCAAAACATTCTTTGCATTAAAACACTGAATTGACAAGTACACTATGGCTTGTGCAGTGTAGGAACTGCAGAGAAAGTATGCCATGTACATGTAAAACATACTTATCTTTGTCTCCCTCAGTTTTTCCCCCTGCTGTAGTGTGTTCTTAAGTTTGTTAGTTTGCTCCCCCCATTTTCTGTATTAAATGGTTTCTTCCTTTCCCAAGACCCTGTCAGTTAGGTTGCTATAGAAATGAAACTGCTCCTCCCTTGGTTTCTCTTATAAAGTGAAAGTTGTTTCCTCCTTAAGCTCAGTCAATCACTCCTTTTCTCCTCCTAAGTTTCGAGAATTTTCTTTTCTCTGGGAGTTATAGTTGGCTGTAGCCCCAGAGCCCCTCCTATGATTTATAACAGTTAGTTACTTTAGTATATCAGTTATGTTTCGTACCTCCAAATATGTATTTCTATTAGATAGCCGGGTTTCCCTGCCTTCTTCCCCCCTTTTCCCTTAAAACCCTCTCCTGCCCCCTGTTCGAGGCCATTTGCTGGGTGTTTCCCCTCCTTGTTAAACCGACAGTTTACCCCCAGCAAGTGGTCGCCTCCTAATTCGTCTCTCACCGCGCTGCTCCGAGCTATCACCCAGCTCAGCCCAAGGCCAAGACGCCGAGGGGGGGCTGCTTTCTGATGGGCAGGGGCCCTGGCCTTCGCCCCTCACCAGATAGCCAGATTCCAGGGCCGTTCACGCCCCCGCGCATCCCCCCAATACGTTTTTCCGACTTAACTCTTTAAAACTCAAGAACTATATATATCATGGTGTACCATGAGGCTTATCTGGTGGCAAAGAAACTCAATTGTTCAAAATTAGTATGCTCCCCAGTGGCTTCATTAGAAGATAAACAGAGACCTGGTTTTTTCCTCTGTGTAACTCACTGGTAATTTGGTCACAAAGAAGGGCTCAGGGAACCAGGGAAATCTTTAAACAGGAACTACTGCTTCCTACCTGCAGGCTCCTCCATCTTTGCAATGTCAAATGAGTTTGGCTTGAGAATGCAGTTGACATCCAGAGGCAGCAGGCTCTGGTAGTCACTGGAGCTGGCTGAGGCTTGGGCACTGTCTCCAGACAGGCTGGGATAGAGCTCTGGCTCCGGAAGGCTGGAATAAGGGGCAGCAGGGGCTGTGCTGTCCTGCTGGGCGCTGCCATCTACACGGACAGGAAGGCATGTTGAAGTCTGTTACAGTGAAACAACACGCAGCACCTGCCCCCAGCTTTGTCTTTTGAGGGAGAACATGGCCAATGTCTGAGATCAGGTGAGAGGAGTCTTCCCCTTCTACAGTCACAGTCACAATTTAATTAATTGTCAATTAACTGAAGGTCAATTAAAGGTCAGTGAAGGTAATCAGGACCCCTCAGGAATGCAGTTGTAATACAGCCTTTTCTTAAATCTTTTCCTATTACCTATTAATTTACTATTACAGTGAAAAAAGTACCTGATATTCAGGCAGCCTCTTACTGTGGCTATGTGGAAGAAGGTAAGCGACCTTGTGGTGCAATAGCTGGAACTGGTGCCTGCATTATCAATCTCATTAAAAGGTATGCGTTCAAATCATATCCTCCTCCATCAAGAGGTTTGCAATTTTGCTTCATAATGCACTCTGGAGAAGCACCTCAGAATAATTAACAGGATTACATCCAAAACCTGTTCAGTGTAAGATGGTAAGATGTGAGGGAAGCATCTCTTTCATCAGACAGAAGAGGTGTCTGTAACCTCCTGAGAGCTGTTACAAAGGCCCTGGAGTAGTTTTTTAATGGACAGCTGCTATCCTATGTAAATTCTTGATCTTTGTCTACCACCTTTCTTAACACTTTCTTTTTTCCCTCCAGCTGCTTTCCTCCCCCACCCACCAGAGATAGGAAAACCCCGGGATCCACCTGATGGTGTGTCCGCAGCTGCTGCTGGTGGCAACTCCTGCCCTTGGTTCAGCTCACGTTGTTCTGGGGGATTTGGAGGAGCTGCAGCTGGTTTGAGTGGAGTCACTGGAGCTGCAGGCTGAGATGGGGGCTGTGCAAGGTCATCAGGTGGAGGAACTGGAAACACCGTGGGCTTGGAGGAGCTTGATTCTTTGTTTATAAGCAGCACATGGATAGGTCCTGAACTACTTTTAAGATTGATCTGGTATTTATTCTGTCCATTCTGTCCCTGTAAAAATGGTGTATTATGAAAGTTAGTGTTCTTTGAGAACTTGGAACTCTACAAAGTGATGAAGACTAAGATCAGCTGTTTTAGTCCTCAACAAAAAGAAAAAAAAAACAAAATCCAACATCACAGCTGCTAACGTGGGTCCTGCAGAGAACCTTACCATTGCCTGAACTGATTCAGCAGAGATGGACAAAGACAGTACCACTGATCAGCTTCATGGCTCTAGCCTTGAATGCTTTTACTGATATTAAGACTGTGCTCAGCCTCGCTAAAAATAGCTTGTGAAACTTCTCAAGTGAATTTCAGCCTTCTATAAGCACAGTGGCTATCACGCTTCCTACCATGCTCTCTCCCAGCTATGTAAACACTATTTAAAATCAAGCACTGCAACAACAACAAAAAAAGTTAAAGATGGACAGAAGTAAGTAATTTGGCCTCCTACTTTAATCTTGCCAATTTAATCCTTTTGGCTAAAGTGAGATTGCAGTCTGTTTCTCTATCCAGTCTAGTACCATGAGACTAAATCTAAATTATATTAAAACTAAATCAAAAAGGTGTTTTTCATAAAGAGATCCATTTTAACAATATAACAGAGAAACTTGACACATAAAAGTCACTGAGTTCTCAAGAGAATTCATAACAACTATGCATTATTTTGAAAGCTGCAACATTTTAAAAGCAAGAGAGAAGAAGAAACCCACTTGTGTATTTCGGTTTTAATAGAAGGCAGGGTTACCATTAGTCTATCTAAGTGTACAAAACTCACTTTTCTCTGTCTGGCTTAAACTCTTCTCAACTTAAACAATGCTACTCCTTTCTCCCCTCCTCTTGGACAAGGATAGAGATAAATCCTCTGCTCTGAAACAACTCTTCTTTGCCACTATTGCTCTAGAACACTTAGGTAAACGAGAAACCAGTACATACCATTTCAGGTCTAGGTACTTCTAATTGTGTACCACAAGGTGCTTGAATTGCTAGAAGTGTATCTCCTGGTTAAACAGCAATTTTAAAGAAAGTGTTAAGTGTATTTTTCTTAAGTCTTGTATAGTATCCACTCAAATGAGATTTGGAAATTGTGTAAGGTCACCTAAAGTACTGTGTTATTTAGCATATGTAAACTTGTGGTAGGACATGTGCAGCCCCTCTAAGATCCAAGTACATTGCATAGTATAAATCAGGGAATTCCAACACTAAGATCATAGTTGCAAAAACCTTTTCTCACAGCAGTACAAGATTTACCATATTCTTTACCCATTTGTCTTCTAGTTGTATATATAACAAAAGGTGAAAATATTTAACTATTTCCTTTTTTCACAGAACCAAAGAATCATTTAGGTTGGAAAAGACCTCCAAGATCATTGAGTCCAACCTTTGACTGATCACCACCTTGTCAGCTAGACCACAGCACTAAGTGTCATGTCCAGTTGTTCCTTGAATACCTTCATGGATAGCGACTCCACCACCTTCCTGGGTAGCCTGATTCAATGCTTAATCAGTGTTTCTTGAAAAAATTTTTCCTGTTGTCCAACCTGAACCTCCCTGGTGTAACTTGAGGCCATATGCTCTTGTCCTATCACTGGTTGCCTGGGAGAAGAGACTGACCCCCACCTGGCTACAGCCTCCTTTCAGGTCCTTGTAGACAGTGATAAGGTCTCCCTTGAACCTCCTTTTCACCAGGGTAAACAACCCCAGCTCCCTCAGCCACTCCTCATACAACTTCAGCTAAACCGGCCCTCTGACCTAGCTCAGTTTATGACTTTGATGACTGGTGGTACTACAGAGATTTAACAAAAGGAAGAAGAGGTGTTAATGTTCATCTTCAGTGCCAGTACTTCCAAATATCTAAGCTCATGGCTTCCACAGCACATACAACTGGGATCCAACAGCTGTCTGTCACACTCACCTGTGGCTTACTATGCACATGAAAATGTGTTGGTTAAAATTAGGGGACCACACTGACATGCACAGCACTGGCACAATACTGCAGGTTACTTGCTTACCTGCACATGATTTCCTCTTTGTTCATAACTAATTTGGAGTAACACTTTTCTTTCTCTGCTTCCTAAGAAACACTTAGGTGAAGTACTATGTGAGCATTGTGCCAACTGCCTCCATGTTTTGTAATGACTAACACCTTTTCAGTAACAGGCCATTTTTGTTAAATTCTGCAGTAGTTTTCTAATCTTGTGTTTTTATTTTAAAAAAGTCTTCCTTGTGGCAAAGAAAAGACAGTTTTGAGCCTAGCTGGAGGCTGAACAACAATCCCCTTGGGTGCCCCAGGATCAGGAGATGATGTCAAGGGAAGTAACCTCTGCCAGCACTTCCCGGCAATTTCTTCCAACCACCTGTACAGGAATCCTTTAGATTTAGTAGCAATGCCCCATCATTGACCTTCTGCTGGCTTATTTATACACCATCACAAGCTCTGTCTGGCCACAGTTGCTACCAGAAAATGATGCAAAATTTAGATCTTCCTGGTTCTTCTGGAGGATTGGGCCAATGAGTCCTGTCTCTGGTTCCATTAATGGCCCATGGCAAGCTGCTGAAAAGTATGAAAACCAAAAAAGAAACCAAAAACCAGGACTCCAGCTGAGCTTCCATTCTATTCAATCTATGACTACAATTAGAAAATGCCAGAACTTGGTAGCCATGAACATTATGAGACCTCAACCTAGTAATGATCACTACTGAGTATTTCTTAATTCAAAATACTTGCAGGAAAAAAGCAAGTTAGTTAGCAAGTTATTTTTTAAGAAATCACTCACTTTAGAAATACAGTCTAGCAGCAACTTACCATGGAAGCAGTTGCAGATATCTTCATGGGTGACATATGAAAATGTAATTTATGTCAAGGAACATTTTTCTTAAAACAATATAAAACTAGTATTTGCTGCCCTTCAGAAGTTTGTCCAAACTAAGCCTAAACTATAGCATTATTAAAGTTTAGAGGATTATTGTTAGAGGTGTAATCAAGGCATTATTTTTGACTTTCAGAATGGCTCATTACAAATAACAAGAGTTCTGTGTTTTAAAGAAAATACCTGTATCAGCAAATAAAATACAGAAAGAAAAATAGTTGTGTAGCTTGAACAAGAAAAGATTTTTCTAAAAAAGAAGAACATGTAAAATCTTGTTTTGAAGAATACCATTTACCTTGCTAATTTGACAACACAGAATTAAGGTACGTATCAGCATTTCCCAGAATCACACAAAAATACTGCTAGAGGGAACTTCAGAGCTCATCTACCATCCTCTGCCTCAGGGTAGGATCAATCCACTGTTCAGACATTCCAGACAGATGTTTGTCTTTCCTCTTCTGCAACACCTCCAGTGACAGATATTCCACCACCTTCCTGGCAGATCAATTCCAGTGTCAGCTCTACCAGAAGTTTTTCCTCACCTATAACTTCAGTCTCCTTTGCTACAAAATCCATTTTACAGAAACAGTTTCTGAACAGAAACTCCAGTAATTTTTAAGTACTTATCAGTAGTATTATAGATAGGAAGGGCACTTGACTGCTGCCATTCTCAGGTGTCTGTTTTGCAAGACAGCTAGACACATGCTTACAAGCAATGCAGCTGCAACTCTCTGGTATTTATATACAGCATGGGTTTTTTTCAGTTTGAAACCCAACAAGCTTCAGGACTTTGTTAACTCCATTAATCTTTGGGTGATAGCTTAATCTTTTCAAAAGAATGAAGCAGCAAAAAAGATTAATGTAAAGCACTGGTAACAAAATATAAATTTAAGTTCTGGAAAGCAGTATCACTAATTTCAAGTAAGACACTAGGATTATGCTATTGACTTAATAGTTACTGCTGTATATATATGCGCTAACTTATTTTCATGTTACCAATCACAGTCATGGAAGTTAAAAAGTCACATAAATAAGATTTATATCTTCTTTTGTTGAAGGAAAACCTGAAAAAAACTTGCCTTACCTTGCTAAATGCGTTACATTATGCTTTATCCATTACCTACACTTTAACTGGTGCTTTCATTCTAGATCCAAAATGCACACAATTAATTTAAAAGGATATTGGTGGTTTGTAGAATCATCCATGACGTTCTTGATACTTTGCTGAAGCCACAATTTCTGCTGATCCAATTCTTTTTCTTTTAGCTCTAAATCTTCAATTTCAGCTTCCAGATACCTCAGCCTGTCTATGACCTCTTTTGTATTGCAGCCAGCACCTACTCCTCTTAAAAAGGTACAAGGGTTCATGAAACCACAGGTAAAAATCTAATGCAAACATCCAATGATAATTTCTTAAGACTATTTTCAACATTTGGAAAATCTACTAATATTAAATATGAAGGAAATGAACATTTAACCTCCCAGTAGTGTTTTGACAGGAAAATGAAAATTCTTTAATTCAGATCAAATTTAGAATTTTCTTCTACAAAAACTTATCTTCTTTTGGAACTGTTTTGCAGGCCCTAGCCTTCCCCTAGAATTCTTATCTTGAGCTTTTACCTTCAGAGACCTAAGAGAAAACAGGCATGGACTGTGGTAGGGCAGGTAGGCAGAGACAGTGTGTCCTGAAAGCTCTCCCAAATTCCTTCAGGGAGAATTTTTTAACTACAAGTGCTAGTTATAAAGTAGCACTACAAGATTTCTGAAAGATTCCCTTCTGTGTGCTTTAAATTTTATTTTATATATCACAGAAACAAGTTAAAGGGAAAACAAATACAGTTAATTTGCAAATTTATTGTACTTCTACAACATCACATTGCTCATTGATTAGCAGTGTTAATTTTATGGTGTCATATCTATCAGAAGAAGTAGAGTTAATTTTTGTTGCTCTTAAGTATGTGAAAATTTGCAGAACTGACATAACTTACTTCCACTGAATGCTGTTTTTTGACTTCTTCTCAATGAGATCAATCCCCTCCAGAACGTTGGTGATATCATAGATCCTTCTCTTCTGCCTCACAGCAAGCGTATCGGCAGCCTGTGGAGAGAACAATATCAGCAACTTGCATGCTGAGGGAAAGCCACTCCCTTGGAAAAATGCCATCTAATGTAATTTCAAAAGGAGAAGGCTCCATTCTACAAGAGCCCAACACCAACAATGAGTTCTGAAGTTCAGCACCTGCAGGGAGTGCTACAAAGCACAGGCAGCAGTCCCCTGGCTGAAGGCCAACAGGCTATCCCCTAACAGAGAAAGGAGCTCATAGGGGTGCAAAGACCACGGTCTGTATCTGGAACATATTCAGCTGCATGGAGGAGCCTGCCATGCTCTTTCTGGAGGGCAGGAAAGGGTATGGAAGGCAGGCAGCGACACCTTGCAGTGGGGCAAGGCTCTGAAGCTTGAAGGACATAATAAGTTTATCATTCCTTCCACTGACATTCAAGATATTAGAGCCTTTGTTTGGATTCAGTGGTGCTAGGATACGAAACAGGGCTGTAATTTCACAAGGTGGCTGCAGGAGAGCTAAAGTATTTAAGGCCAGCATTGTCCCTACACAAATGCCCCTTGCAGGGCACAAGGGCTCACTTGATGCCACACCGAGCACCGGCAGCCTGGTACAGCCGCCAGGGATGTTGCTGCTGCCACACAGCCAGCTGTGCAGGGCGTCTGAGGGCTGCCACACCTCGCCCCTCTGAGCAAGCAGCACCAGGCAGAGAAAACCACTTCATGCTTCACTTCCTTCTCTCCTTTTGTGTAACTGATGCAAGGAGTTAAGATAAAATAAAGCAAGTGAGCTACTCATGCCTTCCACAGCTGTAGTTACTTGGGACACAAATACAAACACTACATAGGATTGTATATATTAAACAAATAGAAGAAAAATAAAGAGAAGAGTAGGCTGACTTCTGAATTTGAACTAATGCAAAAACGCAAATCATTTCTGCTACAGGAATATAATGATTTATTTCAGTTTGTCCCAACAATCTATAAATGTACGCTTTTTGTAAGTATATGTGAAAGGTACAGCTTGAGACAGCCATAACCTGGACGGAAAACAAAATTTCTTTGCTTAATAGTACAATTACCTTTTGCAACTTTATTTAAGTTGAAAGGACAAAAAGAAAGAACAGAGATTATCAAAAATACTCTTATAGCCATGAAGTTATTATAAACACTGCTCTTCCTCCTTGACAGTAATGTACCCACTAAACACTGTTTCCACTGACACCATAAGCAGCATTTATCTTTTGTATGGTCTTCTGTATAAGTCTTTTAAAACATTTTCTTAACTAACAAAAGAAGATGCATGCAAACACATATTGCAGTTTAGTTCCCTCCAAAGAAGCAGGCTCTTTGATCACTTGTTTCAGTAGGTATGCACCTGCTATCTTAATCTGCTACTTCTGCTGCATATGTACACACTGCTTCCAAGTGCATTTGTACACTCTGCTAGCAAGTGACAGAGTTAATGCCATTTGCACAATGCTGAAGCAGCACCCCATACATCTCACAGCCTTCAGTTATTCTAGAGGCTGTTTACATTATTCAGTGCAAGGAATGGACAGCACACACATGCTATTCAACTTCCTGCTTTTTTCCCACTGCTCCACATATTTACCTAGAACTTAGTATATTACTCATGGCTTGAACAATGAAGAAACTGCTCTGGAGACAGATTTCATTACCTCTTGAAATTTTCCCAAGGTCCTGTCTACAAAATATAAATGCTTTACTAATCTGAATGTATTTTCAAACTGTACTGGTAGCGAAAGATACCAATGTACAAATCTGGAGCTATGAAACCAAAGCTTAAGATATTAAAAAAAAAAAAAAAAAAGAAAAAAGAAGTGACTTCTTCTGAGTGTCCAATTTCAAATTTCAAATGTTTCAAAGTTGAAGTAATTGTTCCACTCTAAATGCTACTGCATTTTGTATGCCCAAAGCACAGCTCCCATGCATGAACACCAGCAGCAGATTCACCACTACCAGCTCCAGATCCCCAGGACAGGGGCTCATGTCATAGGAAAATGAACAGCACAGTTACATAGGTATTTGACTTGACTATCCCTGTATACAATTCAATCACTTCTATGAAATTCAGCTACTTACAACAAGAGTTCCAACACAAGCTGGGGCCAGTTCCCAAGCTGAGAAATTTAATCCAGACATTCACTAGCTTTCTGGTACAGACCTTGTAATCTAATTATCTTTTAAAAATTTCACAGATATTTTAAAAAGCAATTGAGAAGTTCC